CCTCTTCTGGTTGTCTGACAGGTGGGGCCGTTAAAATCCGTCTGAAGAAGAAAAGAGAAAATTAAATATTGACAGAGACACTAAAGAATCCACCAGAGAAACCCCGCAGAGTGATTAGAAAATAAATCTAAATAAGTGTGTGTGTGTGTGTGTGTGTGTGTGTGTGTGTGTGTGTGTGTGTGTGTGTGTGTGTGTGTGGTAATGGTTGAGTCACGGTAGCTGTTTGTGTCATACCACGTTAATAAAGTCCCTGAACTCAGATATTATTTTTTTCCATCCACGTCTCTCCGTTTGTTACATCTGGGGTCTAAAAACGGTTTAAATCTGTTTCCTGTGTGTTTGGTGAGACGAGACGAAAGAAAATGTTTTAAAGACACTTTGAAACTAAATTTGCTTCGTTCCGATTCTGACACAAAATGGCCAGTAATGAAAACGTTACACACAGGCAGCTAAATGATTCTATTTTAAATCACTATTTTACATGAAATTTAAACGTCATGAATAAGAGAAAAAACGAATTGCTTGATTTGTCTCGATTCATCATAATAAAAGAATTAAATTAATATTAAACATCAGTTAAAATAAGAGTTGGAGCAGACAGTAAAATATCCCCAATTCCTTTGGCTAAATTCAAAAGATGGTCGGCTCCGTGCGCCTCTCTCACACCTGTCGCTCCTTGAACTCACCATGCCGTCGGAGCAGTTGGAGCGGGGGCTGGATGCGTCCGAGTCCCCGCTGTAGTGCTCCAGCACCGGGTAGAAGCCGTCTTCCTGGCCACCGCGCAGCAGCGCCTGCAGGGACTCGATGTAGCTGATGGCGTTGCGCAGGATCTCCACCTTTGGCAGCCTCTGGTTGGGGTTGGCCGTCGTGCAGCGCTTTAGGGTCTCGAAGGCGTCGTTGACCTTGCTGAGCCGCCGGCGCTCCCGCAGTGTGGCCGCCTTCCGCCGGTCCGCGTTGGTCGTCTTCCTCTTGCAGGCCTTGCAGGCCCAGAGCAGGCAGCGGCCCGCCTGGTGGTGCCCGCTGGGGGCGCGGACGTGCTCGTCGTCCTCCACCTCGGCATGGTGGTGGAGGTGCAGGAGGGAGGACGGGGAGGAGGAAGAGGAGGAAGGGGAGGATGAGGATGAAGAGGAGGAGTCGTCAGGCTTCAACAGCCCCACATGGACCAGCCGCGGGTCCAGGTCCTCGAAGAAGTGCATGTCACTGGTGTTAAAGCAGGGGTCGTCATAGAAATCATCAGCGGTGGGGATGGGGAAAGAGATATCCGACAACTCCATGGTTCAGTCCAGAACACAGCAGGAAGAAGAAAATCCAGTGATGACCAAACTTTTCTCTCTTTTTTAGGGAAGAACTGAAATGTGAAGCAGGATTCGGGGCTTTTGAGGGAATGTACAGTCCTGTCACAAACTGATCTGCCCTCCAGCCGTTGACCTGGATCCCCTTATACCTGGGACAGTGGGGGGCGGGTTCAAGATAATGGAGTCCACCGAGGTCTGTCCAATCAGCTGCTGGCAGGAGGGGTTTACAGCTTCACGGTAATTAGTGTCCGATTACCCCTCACAGGGCAGTAATGTACTGCTGCACACGGCGGGGGGCGTGTGGGAAATGTAAGTTTAATACATACATTTAAAAAATGCGTATCGATATCAGCAAAGTAAATATGCATCTGTTAAATAGCTGTCATTATTCCATGTGGTATACTTTTCTGTGTATTGGTTCATTGTCATGCTTTATTTGTATAATTTGAATGAATATTAATGACCTCTAAGGAATCATGACGTCATTAATTAAATAGTTTTATTCACGGCGTTATAATGCATTTAATTTGCAAGATGGACTGACGACATGTTCGAGTTAATTAATAACAAAACATATAAAAAATGAAAATATATACAGTTCAGTTATAAAACGCCTTTGTAAACCAAAGTAAAAAAAAACGTGTCTATGCACTGGCGTTTACAATTATAATAATAACAAAGAACGGAAATTAGAACAATTTTTGAAAATTAATTATTAAAAAATGAAGATTTAAACTTGGTGGTAGGAGGTTAAAACTGTTGACAAAAAAAAACACAAATTAAAGGCTAAATATAACTGATGTAGGAAAAAAAATCACAATTAATATTAATAATAATAATAATTATTATTATTATTGTCATAATGTGGTATGGGTTTATTATTTCATTATTATTTCATATTTCATTATTCATTATTTTATCTGTGTATTTATTTGTTTGTTTATTCATTTAATTCGACAAATATGTCGAATGTAGATATGCATGTAGATATAATTGTAACCTCTGACCTCCTCTGTACCGTCCTATCAGAGCAGAGTTATTCCTCCAAGAAAAAGGGAAAATACAGCTTAAAACACACACACAAAAAAAAACAATTAATAGTATTAACAAATATATATTTATATTAAAACACAATAAGTGATGCATCACTCATGCAACTGTATAGAAAGTCTCCATACAGCGATCAGGCTTCGTGTCTTTGCTGCGCCGCTTTTCAAGTGTAAATACTGCATGAAAGTGTGAACCGAGCAATCAACTTAAATGTCACCGAGTTTATTTTTAGATGCAGTGTTTCCCCTGCGACTGTCTGCACCCAGGACTGACCTCCTCCTCTCAGCTGTCACCGCTGCACCCGCTGCATCCACAAACTGCAAAATGCGCATTATCCCTTTTCCCAAAACACGCCGGCAGCTGTGCAGCTGCAGTGCACAACTGCAGCAGCTGGAGGGCGCCGAAGAAGCAGCCATCAGTGTGCAGGATGAATATCGCGCTCTTCTTTACTCGTGAGGTGAAATTTGCAGGCTATGAACTCATCCAGAGGTAACAGTTGTTAGAGGCTGTTTGCTGAGATGATGCTTGAAGTAGGTTTTCCTATAAGTACGCGATAAAATGGGGAAAATGCAAAGAATACTTTTTATTTTTTATCACATTTTTTTTCCAGTTCTGTGACATACACAATGCACCAGTTAAAATGAATCACAAAGACCCCTGAAACTCCACGTTATTTTCTTTTTTAATCCAAGCTTCAATCTCTAGGGTGAAAAAAATAATAATGAAGGAAATGAAATTAAAACCAGAACCTGCAGTTCCTCCAATGTTCATCTGAGGCTTCAAATATGAGTTAATTGACTAATTCCCGTGTTTTTGTATTGTTTGGCCAGGCAGAAACACTGCTTAGAGAACAGGTTAGAGTGACTGAAAATAGAGATGGACATGTACTAACAAGCGAAGAGGCGTTGATCAGTGAGCAGCAGCACAGCTTCATGCCGAGAAAGATCTTTATACACATGAAGTTTGCTTCAAGAACATGAACACTGTGAGGAATCTTGGAGGCATTTTTGACCAGGATGTGTCTTTCAGTGCAAATATTCAACAAATATGTTGGATTGTGTTCCTGCAGAGCACTTCATTCTCAGACTGCTGGTTTATTCGTGGTACCTAGAATATTGAAAGTAGAATGGGAGGCAAAACCTTCAGCACTCAGGCCCCTCTTCTGTAGAACCAGCTCCCAATGTGGATCTAAGAGACAGACACTAGCTCTACTTTTAAGATTAGCCTTCAAAATGTTCATTTTTGATAAAGCATAGAGTTAGTGCTGGAACAGGTGACACTGAGCCCTCCTGGGGGATTGTCACTCTGTGTTTAATTATTAGTTATGATTAATCTCTGGATCTCTTCCACAGCATGTCTTTGTCCTGTCTTCCTTCCCTCATCCCCAGCTGGTCATGGACGATGTTTTCCCCTCCCTGAGCTTCTGCCAGAGGTTTCTTGCTGCTAAAAGGAAGTTTTTCCTTCCCACTGTCGCTAAGTGCTTGTCTGATTGTCGGTAACTGTGCTTGGATAATACAATTGATTTTCATTGAATTGAATTTAACTGAATTGCGGTTGGATCATCCATCATGGATGCAGTGGACATGCAGGGGGTTGGTGTAACAGAGGAAGATGCTAGGGATAGAAGCAAATGATCCATGGTGGCGACTCCCTATAGCCAAAAGATGAAGAAATTAAAATGTCTAATGTTGAAGCAGAAATAAACATGTTTCCAAGCTGCTGCAAAAACAGTTCTGTTTATGAGGTGCATGGCCACATGGAATGACAGGTGGGTGGAAATACAGGTGGGTGTGCTCGAGCTATTGGCTAAGCTTCACCTCTGCTAATCTGAACTTCTACTTTTGAATCTAATGTGCAGATTTCCACATTCCTGCTCCCAGAGGCTGAACTTCTGGTGTTGTGCTAATCCACTCTCATAGAGACCTTTACATTTTTCACTCTTTTCATAACAAGGCTCCAAAAACATGGTTCTCTCACCGATACATATTGCTCAAGGTTCTGAGGCAGGCCAGTAGACTCGTAAACTTTGTTTTTCACTGAAAACTTTCATATGGTATCAAAGATTGGCAGACCTTCTTTACACTTGACACTCCAACTAAGTTGACCCACTTTTGTTGCAGTGTTTGTAACTGAGTCTTTCTCCATGATATGTTCCTGTTATTTAAGCATCCTTGCTGTATTTAAAGCAGTCTGGGGATGTTATTTATGTCACTTCAAAGCAAAATGATCCTCAGCAGAAGTCTTTGCACTTTAACTGAATGAAATGAAACATAAAAACCAAACTAATGGGAAATGCTGTCCTGTGGAGGGACACAGTATTTGAGAGACAGATAACAAGGTGTCCCAAACTGCTGCTGACTGGGCCCGGGCCTCAGGCCTGAAGCAATTTTACACGACTCATAAAGCCGGGGCTGCGGTCGGAGGCCACGCTGTGACGCGCCAACGCCACCACCGCCGAATCCACTGGCCATCTGGAAACGCCATCAGCACCACCATCCCTCTGCCACAGCATTAATCTCGCCAATTTTCCGGAACTCAGGGGGGGGGGGGAAATGTACACCCTGACTGGCTTATGGCCAGAGTCAGGGGCAGGTCTCCGGGGGTTTAACCTACCCTCACCCTTTCCTCCACCGCCTCACTCCGTCCGATCACTAACGCCTGCCCCAAATGAAGAGCTTCATTCTAAAATGAGATATCTGCCGTTTGAAAAAAGAAAAGAAACGCAGAGATAGAAACACCTGCTCTGACAAAATGACGGATAGCGGGGGGGAAATAAATCCTCGTGCTGAGACGTTCCGGGATGAACGTGAGGTTGCTGTCGGAGTAAAACGAGAAGGCAGTTGCAGACTGAAGCTTCTCTGTCTCACAGATAAAGTTCAGATCGTAAATATTGTTTCAAAATGGATCCACAAGTCAGCTCCTCATACTGGATAATTTAAATGGCCATCAGGACCCACGAGGCTTCTACCACAGCAGCAGTGCTCATCACGGCATCTCGTGCCTACTGAGGTGTCCCTGGGCAGCAAATGCTCTTGACCCTGACCTCCGGGTAATGTCTGTTTTTTCCATGGCTTAAAGTGAGAAAGTACATTAACTCAAGTACTGCTAAATACTGTATGTTTGACGTTAAACGTGGAATAGACAGTAAGACGCATTATTGCAAAATGTAGAAAAAGCGTGATAGATAAATCCATGGATGTGGATCCTCCTACTTAGAGGCTCTGACTATGAGTTCAGACCTGTTTCTATATAAAATGAAAAACTTTTGAGCTGCTGTGGAAGAAATGCCCAAACTACAGAAGAGACCAGCAGTTAGTGTAGCAACAATACGTGAAATAAGAGACAGTGATGTGTACCCGGCTGGCAAATTTGAAGTGAAGTATTGAAGCTACGGCTAGGAGCAAAGGAGGCTGCTGGTCGACAGATGGCAGGTCGGAAATACGGAGGGTGATCGACACAACCAGAGCCTGGCTTGTCCACTAGTGACTAACTGTGATAAAAAGTGATGTTTGATGAGCAAATCACTTCATACGAGGACAAGTCTTAAAAATCAAGGTATGACACTCCACATGTGACAGGTTTTTCTGCAATACTTTACTGAAGTGATTCATTTAATGCATCATGATAAATAGTAGTTTTTTAAAAGACAACTTAACATTACAGGCTGTCCTGTCACCAAAACACTAAAATGAGACTACACAAGTTTGTGTCACATAAAAGAAGATTCTTATTAAAGCAATTCATCAGAAACATGTCAAGGATGTGTTAAATAATCCTATAAACTACTCATATAGCTGAGCAATGAAAGTACTGTGAAACACTAATATGACGGACAGTAACAGTTAACTTATGTCCCTGACTTATTGAATCAGGTGGAGCGAGTGTAGATCTGCAAAAGACTTAGAAGACGTGTTTGTAGCTCTGATTTCAAGTTAGATTTTTACATGACAGGAAACTAAATAATAGTCAGATTTAATATTTTTCATTCAGGTTTAATATAAATTCCTATAATATAAATTTATTAGAGTACCAATCAATATAATGATGGGAACACCCATGTTTTTAATTAACTAAACATCCTGTCTCATAAATAGAGTTCTAGCTTTTTGTAACAACCGAAGTGATTGAAATGTAGTCAAAAATTCAAATTCGATAAACATTTTATCATATCAACATGATATGAAAGCATACTTTGCTAAGTTGTGTGTGTAGACACACCACTGGTTCATCTATTCATTTAAGTGTCCTTTTGTGGTGTTAAGTAACTTAAGGATTGGACTGAAAATGAGAGAAAAAGCAGCCAATTCCCAAAGGAAAACTTGGAACGACCTTCGGAAAGAGACGGCTCAAGACTTGCCATAACTAAGTATGAGTAGACGATGGGTCCTACAGCCATATTTCTGAATTTTCTGCATCTTTTTCATCTTGTGTCTGTGTCCTCTCACTGGCTCAGAGCTGAGCACCCTCCGTTCATCCTCCTCTGTTGTTTCACTTCGGCAGGATGAGTGACAGGAGGGGCTGGTTGGTCTCCAGGAGGAAATAAAGGCTGATTGTCAGCCTGGGACCGAGGTCAACAGGACTCACACCACCGATATAGCTGCCCCTGACCCTCAGACACATCAGTTATCACCTGAGCTGGACCCCACTGCAACAGACACACTGCAGGAGGCCGCTCAGCTTCCACCAGGTGATGCTGTGCTAAAGGAGGTCTGGCAGAGGATCTTTTATTTCATTTTCAAAGTCTTAAACACGACAAATAAAAAAATGAACAAGTACTGCTTTGTCTTACCAAATTCTACTTTATATTTTTATTAATGACAATAATGGACTTCTAATTCTAACAAAAATAAAAAGGGCCAGACCTGCAGACTGACAGCAGAGGTGTCAGCCTCCACACCTGCTGCCTGCTGTAAACCACCAACACTACAACTACTGCATTGTCCCCCACTGCTGGCAGATTGCTTTACACACACACACACACACACACACACACACACACACACACACACACACACACACACACACACACACACACACACACACACACAGAGAACAGGATTAGGTCGGAGCTACAGATTTACTGCTCTACAGTTGTTGGGTTTGTTGTGTTTGTGGACTGAAGCCTGAGACTTTAGACTGAACGTCCTTTTCTACTCTAAAGCCCAGGTTGACTTCATGTAACGTTTATTTATTGAGCTCTTTTAACAGAAAAACTGTCACAAAATGTTGTTCAACACAAAAGAGTGAAGTAAATAAAAAAGTACATGCCATAATAGCCGAGAAAAAGACGTCACGAGACACAATAAAATAAACAGGTATGTCTGGAGAGTTTTTCTGAGTTATGCGTTTCATATTAGACACGCCCACCAATGGTTTTATTGCTGTTTCGTTGTATTTTAAGCATTGTATTTATTTCCTAAAATGACACTGCATTAATTATACTTCAGAATGTGAGTCATTATGGTCTAGCCTGAAACATGATGTGAAAAACATAAACATACACTCAGTTTGTCCAGACGTTTATGAAGAACATTTAGGAAGAGCACAATTTATTTATTCAGTTGACATATATTGAAATGCAAGTTTGGTTTATTTCATATAGTTACATAGTTTACATTATGTATAAAGTTTCTTTTGTGAAGACAGCAGGGACATGTCCAAAGGGGGTACATGGGGTGGCACCAGCACCTTCGAAATATGATTGACTTTCCTGCAACTGGAGTTCACAGAGAGGGAACTACATTAGACAGAAGAGGGGACTCAAAGGATGAAGGCAGACTCGAGAAAAGAAATTGATTTGTGTAAAAATCAAGTTTTGTGGAAGCTATTTTTATAGTTATAGTTCCTGAATCTCTGTGGCAAAGGTGGAAAATGCAGAGTTAGTATGATGGAGCTTGAATAGCCATAATACGTGGTAACAGATCAGGTTGGGGAAAGTCTGAACTGTACAGATGAGAGATTTTATTTGTACTTTTCTACTTACAACAGCTCACGATGAACCTATCCATGCATCGAGACATTTGTGATGCCTTTTCCTGTCACTGTGTTCCTTCTCTGCCACAGGGAGGAGTCTAAATACTAAATAAGATGGTTTTTACTAGAGATGTTCCTGGTGACTAATTTCTTAGTCAGCTAAATGAGGGAAAAAAGTCTAAAACTAAGAAACAGATATCAAGTTATATTTGAGAACTGTTTAATGTCAAATAGTCATTAAACAAAGGCATTTTTAACCATTAATCACATTCTTCATTAATGAATGGTTGTATAACATTAGGACACAGCAATTTACCATCATTGGGAATCAATTAAATGTAAAACAATTAGATTAAAGGACTAGTACTTCTGCTCCCGACTAGTAAAAATAGCGACGCCTAGTCGCAAACATCGGTAGTAATTTCATACTGCTTCTCTGGTCTTACTGACCACTCAAAGCATTGACATACCAGCGCCGTGCTTTATATTGTGTTATATATGCAATTAAACCGCTATTTTTGTTTTCACACACTCTGCACAATCTTTGGAGTTAAATATAAAGCCAACAGACACCTTAGTGTGGGGAGCCGGAGCTTTGTTGCTAATGCTGCTAACAAAGCTCTGGTTGGCTCAGCACGTTTTCCAGCCAAAGACTGAAAGTGATATCAATCCTGTGGGTGTGATAAAGAAAGCATACTTCTTTCTTTCACTTAACCTCTGCAGATCAACTTGTTCTGTAGTTTTATCATGTTGACCATGGCAGATTATTAATGCCGGCCTCTCCGGATTCCCGCAGCTTCCTTAGAAATCTGGGATCCAGCTTTGTTCAGAGGATCCCAGTGGACTCGTGGCTGTGTAGGAACGCCGGCCCTCACTTTGAATTCCTGTCTCTCATCACATGACCCAGCTTATAAATACGTCCCAGCTCTGGACTCATGTCAGGCATCATGTTTTCATGCTTTAGACCGAACAGCTGGGCCACTAAACACAACAAAAACAGATCATCTGACTCCTGCAGGGAAACAAAAACTCCCCCAAACTACATTCTGACTTTTGCTGTGTTGGGTGAACATTTGTGTTCAATGTTCACCCAACACAACAAAAGTCATGAAGAGGATTCAGTCTCCTGGAACAAGTCTGACCTTGAAATGCCATCAGTTTTCTTTACGGTTGCATCAAGCAACCCTTTGGGGCTGAATTACTGAAAGATTCTGAACATCTCATTCTGAACAAAGCCCATCTATGACAGCAAGCTCCTGTAATATATTAAAAGAAGAAACCAGAGAAACCAGAATATTAAAGTGTGATGGCACATCTTTGACCTCATCTAAACACTCTGACACTTAACTTTTCCTATCACAGTCTAAAGACTCTAGAAGGCGAGACATCAGAGTCTGTTTACATCTGAAAAATTAGCAACTGTTTTTTACACTTTAGTTATACATGCACGATGCAACAGGTTGCTCCACTCCAGTGTAGTAGGTGGCAGCAATGCAGGAGACTACAGCAAAGGAAGACAGTAGTGAAACTGAAACTGTTGTGTTAACAGCAAACCACAGCAAAGAATAACAGCAAACCACCAGAAATCCTCTGCTTTCAATAACTTTTTATGAGCTGTTGCTGAGGCTGAGCAAGATTTTGATTCAATAAGCTCAATTTTTGAGCTGGAAACATGCTGATAATCTTACAGGACTCTGTCCCAGGGGGCTGTTTCTGAAGTAAATCTGTAAGTTTCCTGCTGAATGTTGGCAAAATCTCCATCGTTTTTATCAAAGATGTATGAGATATGATCAAAATGTTCTGAGAACATATCCAAGAAAATCAAAAAAAATATTAAATTTCACATTCATTCTCGTGTGCGTCTCTGTACTATTTTCAACATGGCTGCTATTTTCAGATTTCTCAGAAGTTCTGTTATACGTGTTAACAATGTCACAGGATGGCAGATCTGGTGAAGGATCCAGATGGTGACTGAGGATTATGCTAAGTTTTCAAATGACACTGAGCCAGCGCCACTGTTTAGTTTAAATGGTTTGGTCAGGACATTACAGTAGAAGTCTATACTGACAGCCTCACCCCAGGGAACAAAAACATGGTGCAAAACCTGACACTCTGGTCTCTTCCTTGGGGAAAAATGCTTGGATGTAACCAGTGACTCAACTCTAATCATCAACAGTGACAGTCCACAGTGAATTTAGGTCAGTTTGAAAGAATCTGTGAAGTGCACACAGGTGGTGAAAACTGAGTTTCCAGTTTGCGATCCACACGACGCAGTCGCGCTGGAAGCTGTCCGGACATGCCCGAGCAGAAGACCTTGACATGCAGATGGGCTAAATTTTGGATTTTTCCCCAAACTCTTTCCATCATATAGGCATAGCAAATTGTAGTTATAGTTACATTATCAATCAGTAGATTACAGGGAGAAATATTACAAGTCCAATATTGGTTTTAAAAAATAGCAATTCAATTCTAGGTGCAGTTTATGTATCAAGCACAGAGTCATAGACTCGTTTTACAACATATAACAAAAGATTAACGTAAGGAGAAATCTCTCATCAAGGATGCACAGACAGGGAATAGTCCCACATAACAAGAAGACAGAAGTAATAATACAATATAGAGATGGAATGAGAATATTTAGGTACAGTTAATATCAATATTAGTTGTGTTAGCCAGCTGCAGAAATTTTAGTTTCTTGTTTTGGAAATCAGCGAGCAGCGCCGGTGCTGGCCCAGCCTGCAGCGGGTCACAGCTGTCAAACCGATCAGCAGGACTTCTCCTGACACCGAGCCAGCAGCTGTCTGTTAAGAATCCTCAGGACCGTCATCAGCAGCAAACTCCTCAACTCACAACTCCTCTCATTACTGCCCTTAATGGAGGGAAGAGAGAGACAAGGTAAATACAATTACTGATCAGAGAGCAGGGACAGCCGAGCCCACAGTGGTGCCCCGTTTCACTGCTGGTACCTGACACCAGACTCTGCCTCGTTACAGGGACCGTAACCCCGTCTCAGTGCTGGCCCTGATTTCACGAGCCTTTGGTTCGGTTTGTTGTTGTTGTGGATGAATAAACCCCACCATTTAAAAGATGTTGTTGCCCTCTGAAATAGGAGGAAAGTAAATCCAAGGTTGGCACTGAGGTCCAGCGAGACTCCTCGAATGCCTTTTGAGCCAGACGCTGTGATTACCCAGAAAGCCTGTGGAATGCCCCCTTCCTCATTGAAGAGACAAATATAGCGTGGTGTGTTCCAGCAAGGGATGGAGGGTAAATGGATGCTGTGGTGTTATGTAGCAGAAATTAGACAATGATGAATGATGATGCTCAGAGGAGGGACAGGTTAAAACCAGAACTATTTCAAGAGATGGCAGAAACACATTGTTACGTATGTGAGGTGTCTGTGGGAAATTAGACCACCATGATGAAGGAAAATTCAGCTTTCAGGTTTCTGACTCAAATTCAAAATCGCAAAAGAAGATTCACAGACATTTGTATTAAGTGCTGCAAAGTGGAACCAAGTGGAGCCACCAAAAGCCAAAAGCTGCAGTTACTTTTATGTCCATTTGAAGGTGAATGCAGAAGTTTTCAGGCCCCTCTTCTGTGGAACCAGCTTCCAGTTTGGATTCAGGAGACAGACACTATCTCTACTTTTAAGATTAGGCTTAAACCTTTCCTTTTTGCTAAAGCATATAGTTAGGGCTGGACCAGGTGACCCTGAATCCTCCCTAATGCTGGGCTTACACTGTGCGATTTCTTCAGTCGCGCGATTCAGCTCCTGCTCAAACTGTACGATTGACTCGCAGGG